GGGGGGGGTGTACTCGTAGCCGTGCATGCCGTAGTCGTTAGACCATTGACCTCGCATCCCTACAATGCCGGGACGGAGCAGGTGGGGGAGGGGGAATCCCGAAATTTGCGCCGCCGATCCCTTCCTGATTTGTACGGATATGCACGCGCTGTGCAAATGAAAGACCCGTGATGGAGGATTCACTTGTTATTGAATCGTGCGGGACAGTAGCTGTTGCTGTTGCCTTGGCTCAAGGTAGGAATGACAAAGACGGGGGAGGGATCGACTCCCTAAAGCAGGGGCTACTAGATCCAGAAAGCAGGCATGGCTACCGGAGCACAACGTGACGCCAACAGCATGGGACTATCGAAGAAGGATTGCTAGACTCGCCCACCACGCAATTTCAACAACGTCATCGGCCTTTCCGAGCCCCGGCCCTTGACAACATCCCACCCACCGTTCAGACCCGAGATTATTTGAAAACGGTTTCTTCCATTCATGCACACCGCACAGTAATGTGCAAGAATTCGGCCTACAACGAGCCGAAAAAGAGGGTATCAAGAAGTGAAGGCGGCCAGCTTTTCTCGTTCGGCAGCGTGGGCGTGCGGCGCTTGTAAGCACCGGGCCTAACTTGACTAAGCGCTTTTGAGCAGTGCCGTGACTAAATTGCTTACGTGTAGCGACGGTCTTGTGGTACATGGAACAGAGCGAGAATTTCCACGGTATATTGCTATTGTCGCCATGGTAAAGGAGGGGTCGGGCATACGACCAACCTGGTGAGCCAGCTGATGTAGCAGTACTCCTGCTTCATCTTCTCGTTGGCGATGAGGAGCAAAGCCTCCTCCGACGCCTGTTTGAAAGCGTAACGAGCGATTGGGCGTTTCACAGGCCGTGTCAGTTTTCAAGACCAACAAGACCATTACGACAAGACAGCGTGGACAACAAATGGAGGGAGGGGTCGCAGCATCGGCCACAGGAAACAGGCGGCTGCCGGGCACCATCAACCAGAGACACACGCCAGATGCAAGATGTTTGGCTTGTACAACAATCAATGTGCTTTGATCTTCGGTTGCCGCTGCACAAATGAAGGCCAATATCTACTTGGCGTGTAGTCTACCGCACAGCGGGAAATGTTACATGGTACGAACATGGTACCAATGGTATTTTTCTAGTTCTGATCGATCACCTTGAAGTTTCCTGTGGATCCCAGGGAGAGTCCGTGGTTCCAGTTAAAGTCGTCGTCGTTGTACATATACGCCTAGCGAGAGGTTTCGTGGTTGATACGGACGGGGCGTTATTTGTTTCGAGGGGTTAGTGGTCACATCTTGGGCGCGCAAGTGTCCGACACCGGCGGTGAGAGAGATGAGGGAATGTCCAGAGTTGTTCAAGCTTGGGGCTAGTGAGCGATGTGCAACTGAGGAGGGTTAAGTATTTTTCCACAATGGTTCCTTAGGCCACCGCCGAATCTGCTTCAATCTAGCTACCACCTCGAAGCTTTTTCTGTGGCTTTTGTTCACACAAGAACAGAGTACTATCTCAACGGATTCAGGAAAGCTACAACATCCACCTCTCGAACGACGAGACGTTCGAAGCAGAACACCACACAGGAGTGGCATCTTCCTCCCAAAACTGTCGAATAAAATAACCTTCTTTCCCTCTACAAACATCGCCGCCCTCTCCTCCTCCTACGATGACACGCCGGCTGAGAAAGCAGCTCTCGCCGAGATGAAGTACGGGCGTTCTGCGTTCCATGTGTCGTTTTATCCCTAGTCACCTTGACGGAATTAAGGTAGATGTTGACGTCCTCGAACTGTTTGAGCAAGAAGAAGCACGAAGCCATGCATTGCCGCCCGGGGATGGTGTCGCACTCGCTCGCAGATGCCCCAACAAGCTACACCCACGGGGAGAGGTAGGACACGATAACAGTAACAACAACAGGAACAATATTATCATAACCATGACTATCATCTCACCAGCTACAGTTTCAACAACAGTAGACCACCCGCACCAGCAGCAACAACATCATCATCGTCACCATCAACAGCTACAGTTACAACAACAGACCAACCGCAGCACCAACATCAATAACAGTACGTCCGGTTCGTGAGCACCACACGGGGGGTAGAAGCAGGCCATACAAGCAAGTATGGCAGAACGTCAATCACATCCTTTGCTCGCCTGAAAGTACTGCTGGGCCATCTTGAGGTGCTCCCTCGAGCCCGTCGCCTGCCCGATCGACGCATTCACCACGCCTGGTGCACACAGAATAAGGACGAGTTTGAATCACCAAAACTAGGGGAAGTAGTTCAGCTTGAGGCAATCTCGGAAAGATGCCAACTCTCACGCCGACCAACTATACGTTTCTCGCATGACGATCAGATGCAGACAGCCCTACTACGAAAGGAAAGGGTGCACCACCTCATCTACTATAGAATGGTTTCGCGCTCCGTACTCTTGATTGTTCCTCGCCTTCGTGAGTCGCCCCCCTACGATAACTCTACGCCTGAAGTTGGAAAACAATTTTCACGTCTTCCGCCTCGAGATCTCGGTCAAAAACAAACGAATTGCTAGAGTAACCCGGAGGATGGTGGGAGGACACTTTCCCCCGCATTTTTTTAAGCCCCATGACCCCGGCCACCGCGGAGGTGATCTCGGTCCATACCTTTGAGGATGTATTCCTGAGGAGTGGAAGGCTCCAAGTCCTTGATCAGGTCGTACGCCTCTTGCAGCCCTTCGTGTTTCAAATAGTAGATCACCTAAAACAAGAACCGAAGCAACGCGGACCAAGCCAAAGGGCAACAGCGAGAGGGAAGGCGGGGGGGTATGTGGATAGCTCGTACGCGATGCTGCTCCAATGGGTATACCAACCTGCACCCCCATCGTCTGTGTTGCCATTTCCCGTCCGTGCCAATCAACATCATCCCAACGGCACCCCACATCAATCAATTCCTCCGCGGAGACGGCGTCCGTACATTACCTCCGAGGGCTTCATCAATGGACATAGTTGTGATGTTTTGCAACGAATTGCACTGTTTACCAGTACCGTTCCCTCGATTTAGATGCGCCACACCGAGGTTCACGCAAGCAGCGGCGTGTATGACGGCGCCATCTCGAATAAAATACCTGCTATATTGCTTTAACATTCTACAAGGTTCCCACCACAATATGCGTCTCCCACATAGACACAGATGAGTACGGACAGGTGGAGGCACTGGATAGAGATTCGGAACGGTTTTCTAAGTGAAGACAGCAGCAGCAACAACAACAGCAACAACACAGGGATGCTTGCTCACCAAGTTGAGCCTCGCTTCCGGGATGAAGTCGACGAGAGGGGGAAGAACCTTGAGAGACTCCTTGCCTTCGGAGAACACCACCGTATTGTGGCGGATCAAATCATTCGCCTAGAAGTTTTTTTAGGGGTGGGTTGTCAAGGAGGTTGAACGCCACGGAAAAAGCGACTGGACGCAGTCAGGGGCGAGGCTGAGTGAACCGCGGCCTCGCCTCTGCAGTTTAGTGCAATGTCGGCGCATAGATGACGAAACGACGGCGAAGCCGGGGGGCTCCCTGGCTAGCGAAAAAGGCGTGGGAAGGCACGCCTGGTGTTCACGTCCGGCGAATGTTTCACACCTCGGCGACTTGAATATCAAAAAGACCCCACCCTCGGCCTCGGGTTGTACCTCACAAAGCGGGGAAATGTTTTTATGCTCTTGGCTGGTTTGCCCAAGGCTATCTCCCCTCACATATGAAAAAAGATACCCCAGGTGTTCTGTTGGCTTTTTAGAAAACTCACGGTGTCGTGGATAGAGCACAGGATGGTTTATGGGGTCAGTTCGTTGTCTGGGCCAGGAAAGAGCCAGCGGCGGCGAGGGTCAAAGGAAAGAGCCACAAGCTACCCCAACATATCCAGGGCTTGGGCCTGGGCTTCAGTGAGGGGCTCAGGTCGTTCCCGGGAGGCATCTCACAGGGTTAAGACCACGGTAAGGGCTGGGCTTGAGTTGATTATACCCGCGCGGGGGTAGCGTAAACATGCCTGTAGGTTGTGTCCTCGGTCGGAGAGGGTCTTTAGCTCCGTCTCCGCCGCCTTTCCGTTGTACAGGCGGAAAACGTTGCAGGCCTAAAAAGGAAGCGCACCGTCAGGTAGAAGACAGAGTGTTGAGTGAGAGAGTTCGACCGCGAGAGTATACTGAAGAGCGAAACCACGAATCATTAAGCTGGCAAATATCTAGCACAAATGGACGGAACACCTTCCCTCTCCTGAAACTGTACGTTGGACCCTTTCGCTATACGTAGCATGCTTACGCCACGTACCGTAGAACATAGGTCATCCCCCTCCCGCGCACACACACCCTCTCTTGTATTATCTCACTTTGAGGTTCATGGCGACGGCGCTGTCCGGGAAAGCCTGGAGGTACACGGCGAGGATCTCCAGAGACACGTCGTAGTAGTCCAGCTTGTAGTAGCACATGGCCACGTACACGTTTAACGCGAGGTCGTCCCGGTTCTCTAATAGGAGGCGTTTGTAGATGTCCGTTGCCTGGTTTTCGCATTTTTATACGTCAAATCCTCAGTGCGTGCGTCTTCGTATGTGTTTTCGACCGAAGCACTACTTTTTTGCGACGGCCGCACATTAAGCCGTGCTGCAATCTGTTCTCTGTCAGTCTTGGTGCAACGAGATTCCTTGTGTTTGATGAGGAATCCTCGCGACATAATCACGAGGTATATTTGAATCAGTTTGTTCGCTGGGTTTCATCCGAAGGGCCCCACTACAGTGCAACGGCAAAGTCTGTTGGATGCGAGCAAACCTGAAACATTCCACGGTCATGTCAGGGCGAATCCGCAAGAGGTTGAGCAGTAACTGTGCAGCACTCGACGAAGCAAATGGCCTCCAAAACGTCAGGAGGATCTTCTTTTTTCAGTCCAGCGCTTTCCCTCACCTCCTGGAAGTGGCTCCTCAGGTAGTGGATCGCCGCGAGAGACAGCTGGTCTTCGTTGGTGTCACTGAGCTTCTGGTGGTACGTCATGAGCTTGTTCTCGTCGAGCAGCTTGTGCGACACGTGGAACAGCAGACGATTCTTCAGGGCGCACTCGGGGCCCTTTTTTGCAGCCTCCTCCGCCTGCGTGCAGTGGATAGGTTGGGGAACCGAAAGATCGACACGTCGGGGGAATGGTTGGGTTATATTAACACATGGCGTAACCGGTAGATGATAGACCTCGCATCCCTATAATGCCGGGACGGAGCGATATGCCGGGCTTTCGCCCGCCCGGGCAGCTAAGATCAACTGGTCATCATCCTTGCGTTTGCTGTGCCAAACCAGGAGGGGGGGGCGTTTGCAGGTTAAGAGAAACACGACTTTTACCTGTTTGATTGCATGTGAGTTGGGTAATAACTCGACAAAGCTGGTGCATGGTAAGTATCAGTTTCTTGCAGCCACGGGTGTGGTGTGGCTCCTTGGGTCTCTTTCTCCGACGATATCCTTCATTTCGTAGTCTTGACGATTGAACAGCCACAAACGAAGAGTAGGACTCCTGTCGCTATGCCCAACTTTTTTTTTCGTTGCCCCGATCCCCGATAATCCGTGCTTGCGCAGACTACTTGACGACACAGCGCACCTTGTCGAACATCTGCATGTAGTAGTAGCAACATGCCAGAAACAAGGTCACCTCGTCCGCCCCACCAAGCGATTCCAGCTCCTGCGATAGGCAATTTGTGTTACTCATTAGCAGGGGGCCGGAACGATGAAGCACACGATGCCGTTGCAGGGGATTGATCAGACTTTGTGGTCGTATAGGCTGCGAACGAGGCCTTTGAGGTGCTGCTGCTACTTCGAGTACCGTTAAGAGTCGGAGAGATGGCACCCCCATGTCAGCGTTACTTTGTAGCGTATTTCTCCACAACTAGGAGGGTGCGAACACCAACCGATACCTCTCAGGAAAGCCCTCGATGAGATGTTTCCAAAACTACCCTTTTCGGCAATGGTACCCCCCTGGTTGTGGAGAAATACGCTATCCAAAAAACGCTAACACGGGGGTGCCGTCTCTCCGACTCTTCCGGTATGCATATGATCAACGTTTCTTGACGGAGTTCGTTGCCCGCTTGTCGTCTTGATCGTCGTCGTTTGTTTCAAGGTTTTCGTTGCCGTAGTCGTCTTTTCCGTTGAACACCACTGCTCCGTTTTGGTCGTGCATGAAACTTATTCCTCCGCACTGTCCCATCAATACTACACAACCTCCCGTTGTCTTAGGTCACCAAAAATATGGCGCCACCATCAGATTTGTGGAATGCAAACACCACGACGAGATGCCAGTGAAATCCCCCGATGTGCTACTGCCCACCTTCAAACGCGACCCGTGTAGGTACACTTTCGTTATACCTGGTAGGCTTCGATGGCTCGTTGGTAATTCCCGAGATGAAAGGCGCAGTACCCCAGCCACATGAGGGTGTCTTCGAGGGTTTCGTCTTCTCCCGACCGCCGGTTGAACTCTAGCAGCGTCACTGCGCCGGTGAAATCCCTCGACTGATGGAACGAGGAGCCAAGAACAGTAACAACGTGAGAATGTCGTCGAAAAAAGCAAGTTGACAAGCCACCATTGTAAAAAACTATCAGTTCGTGGAGGTCTCTTGCGGGTGGTGCTACCCTCCATAATCAATCGCGTACACCTACATGAAAAACCCTACCTGGAGGCATCACACAGGAACTTTGCTGACGACGATGTTGAAAGGCTACGCATGTCTTGGGCTTGTTTGTGGGCTTACCCTATGGTTGATGCCCAGTGCATGCGTACGAACGACCAAAACACCCCACTACGACGGAAGGCTCTACAGTAGTCTTCACGTCCGCCGCGGTACTGCTGTGCATAAAACCTGTCATAGCTCTTGCAAGGCCTGATGCAATACTCGGTGATTAAACGCACTCGATGCAGAGTTTTCGAGGCTTTGTTGCCACTCACCTTGACATAATCGCTGAGCTCCGGCATCTTCTGCTGCCCCGGCGGCCCCTTCGGCTTACTCCCCTTGCCTGTACACCAACGGCCCGACAAGGTTGGGTTGGCGCGGTACGCGGAGGCATTTTCTGCGACATAAGGGCGTCCCATGTAGACCATGATTCGTCGAAGCCCGACTATTGTACGTGCGTGTCGTCGCGGGTTGAATGTGACCCTTTGCCTGCTTCAACCGCCTCAACATTACAAAATCTGTCTGTTGACTTCGATTTTACCCTATTAAACTCAATGGTTCCCGCAATAGAAATACTTCACACAGTAATACAATGCGACAGCCTACCACAGCATATTGCCCCAAGACCTCTGCAGCAGAGTTCCGACCAGTACCATGACAGTATTCGGCGGTCTCATACGCACTCACGCAAGAGCATCTTTGCAGAAGTCTTTGCCTTGGCCGTGGGGGGCGCTCTTGTCATCATCTTGCCGGCTTGCCCGCCCCTTGCCCGCCCCTACCACCGACAGCAGGAGCCGATGATGACGATCTTCAATGCAGACCTGGGGGTCTACTGACCAGATCTCCGATGTTTGGGTGTTTCGAACGAAGGGTGTATCGTTCCGTTTTCGTGCGTCGCACGTCCGGCATCCGGATCCTCCAGCAACTCCTCGTAGGGGCAGGACCAGCACCTCCAAAACGCCACACACCAATGAAGGATCCCAGTGACACAGCAGACTTCTCGTCAAGATCTTCCCCCCAGTGCTTTACGTAGAAACGTCTGCGGACGAACACCTGCCCTGAAGGATCATATATTGTTGTAGTACGCGATCAAGTGCCGCGTCCAGGATCGAAGGGGGATGGCGTGCTAGAGTTCTCTCTATCAAGCAACCGTGCGCAAGGGGGCGGTCATCAAAGAGAAACCCGCGAGATAGCTACTGCGAGACATGCAATCGCATCGCATCATCGGAGATCTTGGGGGGTCCGCACCTATTGCCTTATATTTTTGTGCCCCTTTTACACACTACCCTTCTGTCGACCCCCCCTGCGCGTTTTGGAATTTCCTCGTTGTGTCGTCGTGCCTCCTGAAAATGCATTGTAGTAGTCCTTCAACTGGATCACTCATCACGCTTCACACCTGGGTCTATATCATTATCATATTGTCGCACTTATTCGGCCGGGGCAATTGTCTGGCAAGCGTCCAGTTCATCGTCTTCTTTTTGGGCTCGGTCAAGACACATCATCTGTACCACCACAGCTCATCTTCGCCGCGACGGGCCTCCTCTGTAGCTAGGGAGCCAGGCTGGAGCTAGGGAGTAACAGAACAGCAGTGAGTCGTGTGCGGAAGGAGTGCGGGGACGGCAGCGGCGTGCCAGCTGGAAGACCTCGCTAATCATGTCTTCCGAGGTCTCAGCGAGAAATCCAGAGTTGCTCAAGGAAGAAGACACGGCTCGCCCGAAGTTCGTCAATCGCGGTGCGTTGGGGCGGAAAACCTGAAAATCAATGTGTACGTACAATGTATCATCCTTTTGTTTCAACCGAAACTCTCACATGTTTTGTGGATCTAGGAGACGGTCGGTCGTTTCGCGGCAAGAGATACGAGAGAGGAAGCCAGAAAAACAAAGAAAATGCGATGTCCCGTTGTCTTGTGCCTCCTTCCGTAGTCAGGAGTACCCATTGGGATCTCCGCTTTCTCCTCCAGTAGAGCTGCCGTGGCTTGCAGCTCGCGGAAGCTTTTTCGAGCCGACCGACCGCTCCTAACTCCCGACTCTCTTGCCGTAACGCCCGCTGAGTACACCGCATCAACAGATCAACAGCAGTGGGGTATCGCTCTGTCAAGGGGTTGGCCGGCAATCACGCTACGCCAACTTCGTTCTGTAGCGCAGCTACATCAGTAAGAGTGCCGGCCCGCTCATGAAACACCAATATTGAGTGAGGGTCAAACCTTTTTGTTCCCACCACTGCTACCAACTACCATAAATGACACAAGATAACACACCCCCTTGACCGATTTTCAAACCCCGATTTCTAAGCAGCAGAAAGAGTCACAGCGCCGAAACCGGTGGCATTGAAGCTGTCTCTTTGAGAGCTCTCCGAACATGTGTTGTTTCAATTTGTACATCCTCTTCGTTGTGGCGTAATTGAGCCTTGAAAATTGATCCAGGGGGTGTGCTGTCTTGTGTCATATACAGAAGATAGGGCGGGTAATGAGCGGCTGGGTAGCGACTCAATACCTTGCAGTAGTCTTTATCTGCGATCCTGATGGTGCACGAATCCCGATAAACAGCAGCGTGAATCGTTTGAGGTGCAGCTACGCGTGCACCAGAGGGACAGGCTGCAGGAATGCGGCGGGTGCAAAGATGGTTGTATGTGTGGCCCCGCTCAAATTTTTGCACTTCAGATGCGGTTGTTTCTCTTCCGTTGATGCACATGCACACACCAGCGAAGAAACAAAATGTGAAGTCTTCCGGCTGTGCAGACGCACATCAGGGCATCTGGAAGAGGCACGCATGCGGCATGTACCAGGGCGGCGAGCGTATCACACATCACACCGTCGAGGAGCACGACCAGCAACTGTTTTTTTGTTTTTTTTGTTTTTCTCCCATCATTGGGATCATCGGTCTGCAGTTGTTTCGGGAGTCGGTTACACCACTCAACATCAACACCCGCCAGGTTACACAAGGCGCATGACTATACCCACGGCGCACAGGTCGTATAGGCCCGGCCCCTCCTGGTTGTCATAGATAGCTGGTCTCGGGTCAGCTTCCTGTTGTTCTCCTTCTGCAGATACAGTCGACCCCGCTTTAAGGACGCACATGCTTTTTCCTGAAAAAAAACGTCCTTAAAGCGAGGTTGCGTCCTTAAAATTCAGGGGACGATAGCTCACCATGCCCGGGGCCAATGGAGGCATGCTACACCTCAAATTACGCGTCTTTTTCCAAGGAAGGGGGTGGTACGAAAAGTCAGCATCGCCGAGACGACTGGCAACCGTTTGTTGACGTCGAACATATTTACAATACTTGAAATGAGATATACAGCAGTCAGGGACGTGTTGAAAACAACTACAGTACACCAGTTTGTACTTGACCAACTAATGTACTGCATAGCCGGCGGCGGAAGAGGGAGGAAAGTCCAAGTAGACATATATTTATCTCATTCTTGTGAAACAAAAAGAAAGAGCGTATTCAAGCGTCGCACCGAGGAACACCAGTACATATCACTGTCCCGGCGGAGACCAAAAGCTACCCTGATGGCTTTTCCTTCCACATATCGCGAAGACTTCCCTGAACCTCCCCCCACGGCTTGTCTTTATGGCTCTGTTGAGTTTCATGAGGAAACGAATGAACGGTCTTCGAAAGAAGGTACTGCGTCTCACGGTACTCGCCACCCCTTCCCTTCGCGTACAAATACAGATGGCGCCCGCAGTTAAGAAAAAATCTGTAAGAAAAAAGGCTCAACTTCGTACGAAAAATAAGAAAACGGGCTAAGAAACATATCGCTCAATCTCGGCCACAACGTAAGAAACGCCC